TCCCACGCAGGTGCAGGGTCCCAAGGCTTTGGGCCATCCTCGACTGCTTTCCCAGGCCACAGGCAGGCAGCTGGAAGGGAAGCGGGGCTGTTGGGATTAGAACCGGCGCCCATATGGGATCCCAGGCGTGCAAGGCGAGGATCTTAACCACTGCGTCATCGCGCCGGGCCCGTCATTGTAAATTTCTATTTTTCTTTCTATTGTTGATTTTGTATCATGACTTTTCATTTAAGGGGATGTACAGTAGCTGTGAAATAGAGACTAACATCCAGATGTGAAGATGCAGTGTGGTATGCATTTCTGCTTCCAGATAAAGATGGACTTACAATGAAACTGTTTACTATATCTTGACAACAGGATTCTGGACTCTGCCATTGTCCATGCCCGCAATGTTGGACATATGACTGAGTATGAAGAACTATATGTTAGTAATGATATAGAGGAACTGGGGCGGGGGGAGGGAATTGGGGAGGGGATAAAGGGAATATGGAACTGTTTCATAAAATGATAGCAATAATAATAAAATGTAAAAAAAAATTTTTTTGGTTTCTGGTACCCGCACAGGGGACCTGAGTTAAAAGTCCCACATTCTGACTTAAACTGCCAGAACTGGTGGACATTTAAAGTGAGCCAATAGATGGAAGATTTTCCCTGGATCTTTCTCTCTTTTCCTTTTTTAAAACAGACTGTGAGGCTGGCATTGTGATGTACCAGGTTAAAGTGGCACTTGCATCCATATGGAACTTGATGCTCCACCTCGAATCCAGCTCTTTGCTATTGTACCTAGAAAAGCAACTGGACACTTACCCGCCACATAGGAGACTAAAAAGAAGCTCCTGGCTTTGGCCTGGTCTGGAAGCTCTCTCTGTGTATTTCTCCACTTCTCTTTGGAACTCTGTATGTCAAATAAATAAAAACATATTCTAAAAAACTATAGTACATTACTTACTAGCCTGCTCATATCCAGGGACCAGAGGATAATATACAGTAGTGCATCTCAAGCATGAGCTTGTCTCATAATGCCTAGAAATTGTTTTAGATCAGGTTTTATAATAGGCAAAATATTTATGAATATAATCAGAAACTTGGGAAAAGGTAGTACAGTGGATAAAATCTTAACACATGCATAAAATTTGTATATTTAAGGACATATATAATTGATAACAGAATTTAAAAATACAAACAAAAATGAGATTTGTGACCTAAGAGGAAAAAAGATAGTTGAAAATTATAGATAAAATATATGCATGTGTGGGGCCTGAATCTTGAGGTGGAAGCTTGCCATACAGTATGACAGCCCAGACAATAAAAAATGGCAAAAGTAAGGCTAGGTCTTCTGAAACACTTCTGGGACATTGTTTTCAGGAGGAAAAACAAGTAACCTTTTGTGTTATATATAGCAGACCTAGGATTTACATTGTACAATCAAGATTTACTTTCTAATTTACATACAAATATTAGCATAGGGGGGTGCTCATCTTCTTCAGCTAGGGAAATGATGAGGCCCATGGAATATAAAGAAATTCAAGGATTAGGGAAATTTCATCAGGGCACACCATTCTTTTTTTTTTTTTAACTATTCTTTTTTTTTTTTTTTTGTTACATTGCATCATGAGACACAGTTTTACAGGCACTTGGATTCCCCCCTCCCCTCCCCAAAACCCGCTCCCCCCCCCTTGGTGGATTCTTCCATCTTGTTTCATTACCACAGATCAAATTCAGTTGAGATTTTTTTTTCCTTGCAAGCATCTACAAAACATAGAGTCCAGAATCTTATTGTGCAGATAAGTTCATCAGTTTCATGGGGAGACAGTTTCTGGTCTGAATGTAGAGCCGACAGAGTATCATCCCAATCAATTAAAAGCCCCGACATTACATCAGTAACAATTTATAATGTAATGGGATTAGTTGACATGGTATTGAGTAACCAACATGTTAAAAGAGAGAGAAAAAAAAAAGAATGCAAGTTCTGAACCACATCCTATGACTTCTACATTGACATTACAATTATTAGTTTATATACAGCTGGGTTCTATACACCTTAAAATGGCTATAGATTACTATTCAGCTGTCTCATGTCTATTTTAATTTTAGTGTTTAGCAGTTCATAGTGTTGAAGCCTGAGTTTGCAGAACCTGGCTGTTTTTCGGGTAGTCTAGCTCTATAACTGTAACAAGACATATGTCAACAGTTTAGGTGAATGGTTTTAGGAGGGGTGTGCAGAGAAATCCTTAATACCCTAGTGAGGAGCAACCAATCTTTGTGTCCCACCCAGTGAGTTATAAGTGCATCCCCCCTGCCCATTTCCTGTTTCTAAGCTTTCCTCGCTGTTCTCCATCTATTCTAGGTTTTTTTTGTTTGTTTATTTGTTTATTTGTCACTTTGTTTTGAGGGGTTTCTGGAGCAATCCTAATGGTCATTATGAGAGAGAGTGGGGACCCAAAATTAGAACCAGGCAAGAAGGGCACACCATTCTTTATCCCAAAACAAACTAATGAAGAAAGGAGAGGTCTTGGCTGGTCAAATTCAAAGTAGGGACCACTGTTCATTATTCCTTAAAATTAAAATGGGAAAATAAGAAGCCTGTGTGGACAGAACAGTGGCCCCTTCCTAGTGAGATGTTACAGGCTTTGCAAACATTAGTACAAGAACAGTTAGATGCTGGACATACAGAAGAATCCAGCAGTCCTTGAAACTCTCCCAATTTTTGTTGTAAATAGAAATCAGGAAAATGGAGAATGTTAATAGACCTGTGCAGTGTTAATAAGTACAGTGAACCCTTGGGGTCACTTCAGCCATGTCTTTCAACACCTACAATGATCCCTCAAGATTGACAAACTATGATTATTGTTCTTAAAGATTGTTTTTCCCCATTCCTTTACAATCAGAAGATGGAGCTGCTTTTGCCTTTACCGTACTTGCATATAATCACAGCCGTCCAAACCCCTGATATCAGTGGAAAGTTTCTCCTTAAGTTATGCTTAATAGCCCTTCCATGTGTCAATACTATGATAATCAGCCTTTGCAAATTAAATGCCACTTTCCCCAACATTATGGCAATTCATTATATGGATGACATACTTTTTGCACAACCTGATGCTGATATTGATATTAATGAAATCAGCTACTTCTGTTTTTCAGGAATAAGGGCTTATAATGGCCTCCCCCCAAATTCAAAATACAGTCCCTTTTCAATGTTTCAGATATAAATTTTAGCAAACATAAGTGTTGCCTCAAAAACTCATGAAATACAGCAATATATTAAAACATTCAAACAATTTTTTTAAGGATTTATTTAGTGGGCCTAGCGCCTTCGCCTTGAATGTGCCAGGATCCCATATCTGTGCTGCTTCTAATCCAGGTGGCCCCACTTTCCATCCAGCTCCCAGCTTGTGGCCTGGGAAAGCAGCCGAGGACAGCCCAAAGTCTGGGACCCTGCACCCATGTGGGAGACAAGGAAGAGGCTCCTGGCTCCTAGCTTCAGATTGGCTCAGCTCCAGTCGTTACAGCCGGAGTAAGTAGTGGAGAATAGCCTAAAGCTCGGGGACTGTTTGTGGGAAACCCAGTAGAGGCTCCTTGCTCCTGGCGTTGGATTGGCTTTGGCTCTGGCCATTGTGGCCACTTGGGGAGTGAACCAGTGGATAGAAGATCTTTCTGTCTGTATCCCCTTCTTTCTGCAAATCTGACTTTCCATTGAGAGAGAGAGATGGAGCTTGAAGGAAGAAAATGAATTTGAAGGAGGGGGTGGCCTCGGCTTCTACCTGGAGAGAACCTGATGGAGATAGTGCAGTGCCACTTCCATATGGTCGATGACCTTGTGAGAGAAATGGGTGCCCATTGTACACAGCACTGGGCCTTTATGTATCTTAGGTGTAGGGGATGGGGGAAGGTAGCCGCTCCTGTCTGCACTTATGTGTGCAGTATAGCTTGGGTGCTCATTATGGCTGGTATTGACCTTCTTTACAGACAAGGTTAGGGTGAGTTTGCATTCTAAATATTCCTGGATGGGAGTATCAGTTTGACTTTGGCAGGGTGCTGGAATCAATTCTGCTGGGCCCACCCTAAACATTGGCAATTAGCTGGCTTCAAACAGGAGCACCTGGGATACCTTTAAGCTTGCAACTGGAAACTTTATCTAGTATGCTATAATTTTGACCCTGTATGTATATATGTATGTATGTATTTTTAAACAGATTTCAAATATCATATTTTAGAAACTGAGTTACAAAAGAATGATTTTTTAAAAATCAGTATTAAAGTTCAGTTAGCCTTTCCTTATGGGTAAATTACAAAACTGTCCACCTGTGTTTCTTTGTAAATTATTGACGCTGTCTTGTCCAGAATTAATCTAAGGTTGAAATGAAATTAACAATATTTGATCATTCAGCAATGTTAGCTCCCTGTCCAGTTCTCTGCTTATTTTTTTTGTACTTGGTGAATTATAGGATCATGTAAAATGATTTGAAAAGTACGACAAGCATCAGTGAAAAACTGACAAAATTTATTCTTGTATATTTAATGCTAACTGTGTTTGCCAGACTCCTAGTAAAAAAGATATTGTGGGGCCCAATGCAGTAGCCCGATGTGGTAGCTCAATGGCATGTGTAGTGATCCCATATGGGCCCTAGTTCTAATCCCAGAAGTCCCACTTCCCATCCAGTTCCTTTCTCCTGGCCTGGGAAAACAGTCGGACAGCCCAAAGCCTTAGGACCCTGCACTGGTGTAGGGGACCCAGAAGAGTCTCCTGGCTCCTGGCTCCTGGCTTTGGATCGGTGCAGTTCTGGTCTCTGTGGCCCCTTGGGGAGTGAATCAGAGAATGGAAGATCTTCCTCTCTGTCCTCCTCTCTGTATATCTGACTTTCCAATTAAAAAATAAATAAATCTTGGTGGGGCGGGGAGCGCCCTTGGGCCTGGACTCCATTTCCCAGAGTTCCACGTTCAGGGCGCCTGCGTGCAGGTGCGAGGGCGTGCGTGTGCGTGCGTCTGCGCGCGGTGCGCCGCGTCCCTGGGCCACCGAGGCGATTCTCTGGCTGAGCCGCTGCTCCGGCTCGCGGCCCCGCGTCCCGTCCGGCTGGGTCGGCCTCGTCGGCTCCCCTGTCCTTGAGGAGAGCGGCCGCGCCCGCGATTGTCCGCAGGTACAGGCTGAGGCCGCGTCGGGATGGGCTCGGGGCGGCTCGCCGTCTCGGTGCGCGGCCCCGATCGTGTTCAGCGCGTTGGCAGCGGGGGTGGCAGTAGGAACGTGAGGGGTAGCGGGGGCGGCCGCGAGTCTCAGCAAGCCGCGGTCCCGCTCTCTGCCGATCAGGCTTTCCGGCGATCCCGATGGCGGATCCTGCGAGCCGGGCCTGGGATGCAGAGGACTCCAGAGGCTGGGCCGGAGCGACCAGAGCGGACTTAGTGCAAGTGCAGCTGCTCTGCGGGGAGAACTGAGTGCCAGAACGCAGTTTGAGTTTTGGGAAAGAGGTGCTAAACAGAGGAAACAGGCGCGAGGTTATTATAAAAGAGAAGTCAGTTGCAGACAACCCTAGTAGGGCTTTGTCCGAGGGCTGGGCGGTTGGCAAGGAGTGCAGAAGATGGATGGGGATAGTACGGGCATGGGTGACTCCCTGATGGGGTGGTCTCTGTGGACTGCACTGGGGGCAGAAGCTAGCTAGCCCAGCTCCCCTTCCCCATGCATGTTCTCTCTGCGACTTCTGCGAATTATTTCTCTAGAAGTTCTTTCTGGCTGTGAGTTCATACCCCGTTTTTTTCTGTTCTGTGCCGCGTTCATAATAGGAAGAGGGGTGATATGGTATAGGACATAAGGATTTGGGAAATAATAACCAACCACTGACCTTTCCTGCATCGAAGGTGGAAGAATCCGGTCACTTTATCTCTGCTGGTGGTTAGAGGTGGGGGAGCCCATCAGGATAAGGGTGTACCACCCAGATGAGGGGCAAGGAAATGGTGGATGAGAGGTTGGAGAGATAAGGATCCCAATTGGGGACCCTACCCAACAAGGGGAGCTTCTGTCCTTATTGCAAAGAACCTTCTGTTCTTACCCCCTCTCTCAGCATTGTCGCACACCAGAGGGAGTTCTTTCCAACTAGAATGGCACAGACAGATGGGAGAATGGTCAGATTAAGATCAGCAATCGCGTGGGGAACTCAGAGCAGCCAGGGCCTTTGTGGCGGCTGCGTGCAGGTGCACAGTGACTTTGTGGATGACTAGTTCACGAGGACTTTGCAATCTGGAGTTGTTCTGAAGCTGGTGAAAGTAGCTGATGGTTTTAAAGAGTTATTTATTTTTGTTGGAAAGGCAGATCAGATTTACTGAGAGAAGGAGAGACAGACCTTTCATTCACAGATGAACTGTCCAAATGGCCTCAATGGCTGGAGTTGAGCTGACTTAAAGCCAGGCTCCAGAAGCTGTTCTGGGTCTCCCTCATGAGTGCAGGGTTCCAAGGCTTTGGGCCATCCTCTGCTGCTTTCTTAGGTCCTAAGCAGGGAGATGGATGGAAAGTGGAGGAGCTGGCATGCAAACTGGCACCCATTTGGGATCCTGGTGCTTGCAAGGTGAGGGATTAGCTGTTGACCCATTGTGTTGGGCCCACCTGCTTCTTCTAATTTCTGTCCTAAGTGTTTTTCTTTCAGAAGCAGTATGATCTGTCATTACTTGTTCCTGATGTCTTTGCAAAGTGAGAAACTAGGTGAAGGCAAGTGTACTGCTTGGGTCAATAAGTGGAACAATTTTCATTGGGATTTATATGAAGTGCTGAATCTCAAAATCTTAAGGGCAGAAAAACGACACTTTGCCTGGTTCTTTACAGCCAGAATGCTGTACCCAGCAGATTATATTATTACCCTTGTGGTTTTAATGTTTTTTTAGAGATTTGTTTATTTTTACTGGAAAGGCAGGTAGGAGAGGCAGAGAGCAAGATCTTTTTTTTTTTCATTTTTTATAATATTTTTGACAATCTTTACATAGTTAATTAAGGGGAAAAAGGTTCAAGGGCTATAGGAAAGTGGGTAAAACTGTTATTTTCATATTGTTTCCTTCATGTATCTGAGGTAAAAGGGGACATTGAGGGAGAAGGCCCACCCAGTTTCCCACCCACCCCAGTTCCCGGATGTGGGGCATGCTCCGAAATACTTGCTCAAGTGGTTTTGATAGTTCACCAGTTATGAATCGCTGCCAATCTCACCACTCCAAGCATGATGAGGTCTCTGAAGAATCCAACGATTGACACAGTCCATCATAGAGTCTCTGTTTGCCCTGTGTTTCGCTGTCAACATATAGCTGAGGTGGTTGATTGATTTGTTCTGTCTTCTGTCTTTTCATGGTTATGGTTCTGAGTCTGGCAGTTCGACTGGGGAGATCCCCATAGAAACTTTGAGCTGTTCCCAGACCAGATTCTTGTATGTACTAGCAAGTACAGGGCCTGGCACAGTCCATTGCCCCATTCAGCTGGTGGTTGCAATTGCTGGGTTGGTTCTGTTTTCAGCCCTGACTTCCACTGGAACCAATGGTTATTGCAGTCCAGCCTGGTTTTGCCCAGCACACACTCAGCCCTCACATAAACCAGTGGGAGCTGCAGCCTAGTCAGAGAGACCCACAATAAGCCCCACCAGGCCCGCCCCCACCCTGGTTTGCCAGTATGTGTACCCTTCTATGCCATTCCCACTCCGGATTATGCACTCTCCAGGTGGTTCTGTGGTTTAACTTGACAGAATTAGCCCCCAGTGCCAGCTTCTGCCAGCTGATGCTGCGGATAAGCCCAAACAACCCTCACCCACTCTAATTTTGTTTGCACCAGTAGGAGTAATCCACCCAGCCTAGCTTTTCCCTGATCTAGTCCACATGAGGCGTACAGGTGTTGTAGCCCTGCTTAGTCTGGTCTGCCCCCATTGCAGCTCACGCTCTCCAGTGGGAGTAGCTGTCCAGCAAGGGAACCCACTCATGTTCCCCCTGCCGGCTCCGCCCCCTCCCTTCCTGTTTCTCATGTGTGCTGGTTGGGCGCTGCAGTCACATCTGGTACAGGCAACCACATCTTGGCATTCCATATTGTGCACTGGTTTTTGTCACAACCAAACCTGGCTCGACCCACATTGTTCTGTTGCTCGGATTTGCCAGTGGATGACGTGAACTGATTCAGCCTGGTCTGCCCCCAACCCATGCTAAATGTATGCCAATGGGAAACTTTCCATGGCCTATTCTGGGTTGTTTTGTATCATGCTTCTTGTGCTTACCTGCTGGGTCTGTATCCTGCCAGAGGAGTTGCCCAGGCTCCTCCATCAGAACCCCTCCCAATGCCAGATTTTGTGCTTACCAGGGGGTCCATGAGCCAGCCCTACTCAGTTCACCTCCTGTCTTAGCAGGAACAGTGGCTTTCCATGACTGGCCTTCAACCCCATCTAGTTCTTGCTTTTGAATGTTTCAGCCCAGCCATGCAGAGAGCAAGATCTTACATGCGATGATTCACTTCTCAAGTGGCCACAAAGGCACGAGCTGCACTGCTCCAAAGCCAAGAGCCATGAGCCTTCTCCGGGTCTCTCATGCTTTGGGCCATCCTCAGCTGCTTTCCCAGGCCACAAGCAGGGAGCTGGATGGGAAGTGGGGCTGTTGGGATTAGAACTGGCACCCATATGGGATCCTGGTACTTTTAAGGCGAGGACATTAGCCGCTAGGTTACCACGCTGGGCCCCCATGTGGTTTTAATTAAGGCCGGCGTTCTTACTTAGGTTCTGTGTTGAGTCTTATGGCCTTGTTGCCACTGGGAGCCAGTTACTATTGGAAGACTTTGCTATTGCCTGTGTTCTGCAGAAGCCTCTGAAGTTCTTAGTGTGACGAGGAAAAGAGTAGCAAATGCCCTTCCCAGAGAGGCCCACAATGGAGTCAGACAGGGCCTTGAACATCATTGTTGACTGACTAAGTATAATGAAGCTAAAAACTGGGTTTTATTTAATCACTTTTGGAATGCTTGGTGCTATCACCAGCTTACTCATCCATGAACTTGTTTAACATAATGAGCTCTTCCAGGAAGTAAAAATAGCCAGGGAATACCAAGTGGTAGCGGATGCTAAGGTGGCGCATCCCAGTGTGTTAATCTTTGTCCTTTGCTTGAGTTTGCTTCCTCTCCTCATAGTGATTATGGGTGGATGAGCAGTTTTGTGCTTCTACTGTGGAGATCTGCTTCCCACACCAAAACAGCCATTAGCCTATTTCCTGCGTGCCCATGCTGCATGACCATGTGTCTGATTGGGAAACAGCCAAGAACAAGATTTCTGTCCTTGGTACATCATTCCCTGTATTGCTGTAAATTGACAAAATTATTTAAGAATTGGAAAAAGAGTTTCTAAAAATATCAGTTACCTAATTGGTAGTTTAAGAGAAAAGGCTAAATGAGGATGGGGCCTCATGGTGTTCATTCTTGTTCCTGTTAATAGCAGTTGTTGGTGTCCACCCTGGGACTGGAGGAGGAAGTCCTTCCTTTGAGCTCCACAGTTTAACAGACGGTACTGATGAGCGGGTATGATGTTTACTTATATGATTGTCTATGTATAAAGAGTATCATTTGTAGCAGGTGGTGATTGTTGTCTCTGTTTAGTGTATTTTTTAAAAAAAGATTTTATTTTTATTATTTTTTTATTGGAAAGGTGGATATACAGAGAGGAGAGACAGAGAGGAAGATCTTCTGTCCAATGATTCACTCCCCAAGTGAGCCGCAACGGCTGATGCTATGCTGATCCGAAGCCAGGAGCCTCTTCCGGGTCTCCCACGTGGGTGCAGGGTCCCAAAGCTTTGGGCCGTCCTTGACTGCTTTCCCAGGCCACAGGCAGGGAGCTGGAAGGGAAGCGGGGCTGCAGGGATAGAACCGACGCCCATATGGGATCCCGGGTGTGCAAAGCAAGGACCTTAACTACTTGCGCCACCGCACCGGGCCCTAGTGTATGTTTTTAAGTTAGTGTGTGCTAGTAGCTAATGTTACCCCACCTTGTGATAAATAACTGTTATCCATCACCCATTATACTCTTTTGTAAAGGTGTATTTTATTTGAAAGCTAGGGTGAGTGAGAGCTTCCATTTACTAGTTCCTTCCTCAGATGGCTGCAAAGGCTGTGACTATTGGAAGGGAATATTAGGTGTCCAGAGCTTCATCCAGTTTTCCCAAATGGGCAACAGGGACAAAACTACTTGGGCCATCTTTGGCCACTTTCCCAGGCATATCATCAATGAAGTGGGTTGGAAGTGGTGTAGCTGGATCTTAGACTGTGTTAATGTGCTTTGCTGGCTTTGCAGGTAGCACCCTAACCCATGGCATCATAATGGCAGCCACTCAATATACATTTTGGAATGCAAGCGGTGGCTATGAAAATGTACAAGCTTCTAATTCCATTTGGTTCCTGGGAATCTTTTATTGGATTTCAACTCTTGCTGGGCTCTGGCAATGCAACTGCAGGCATAAGTATTCAGTGAATCTGCAGCAAACTGATTTTTCAGGTTTGTGATTATATATGGTTGGTGAGTGATGATCTAAATATCTGAATGGCTCTTCAGGAAAATGGTTCTCACAGTTACTGGCAAAGCCCAGTGGGGTTTTCCTTAATGTAGAAAAAGCCAGGAATTGGTTGCAGAGTTCTATTTTCAAAATGCACAAGTGGGGCCCGGCGGCGTGGCCTAGCGGCTAAAGTCCCCACCTTGAACGCCCCGGGATCCCATATGGGCATCGATTCTAATCCCACCAGCTCCACTTCCCATCCAGCTCCCTGCTTGTGGCCTGGGAAAGCAGTCGAGGACGGCCCAAAGCTTTGGGACCCTGCACCCGTGTGGGAGACCTGGAGGAAGAAGTTCCTGGATCCTGGCTTCAGATCAGCATAGCATCGGCTGTTGCGCTCACTTGGGGAGTGAATCATTGGACGGAAGACCTTCCTCTCTGTCTTTCCTCCTCTCTGTATATCTGACTTTCCAATAAATAAATAAAATCTTTAAAACAAAACAAAACAAAAACAAAATGCACAAGTGAACATGGAAGAAATAAAATGAAAGCACCTCATAGAGGTGGGGTGCCTCCTGAAAGGAGAGACACCCAGGTTTTAGGAAGTGGGGTGGAAACCTTGTACTGTTGATCCCTAGTCAATTAAGAAATGGCTGGGCAATTCTTGTGCTGCCCAGTTTAAGGTATTATTTTTTTGGCCATCTGGTGAGGGACAAATGGTGAGTTTCCCCGAGATGAAATTTGCTTATCATTTAGTTGTCAGGCTTTGAGGATTTAAACACTACCCTGTTTTTCAGTACTTGCTATGTGCAAACATGGAGCTGTCAGGTGGTGTCCCAGGGACAGTGGCCTCGCAAGGCTGCCCCTGAACCTGACAAAGGATTTTAGTGTTCTAAGATAGGCATTGATAGAGAGTACATGCTAAGACACTGTTAGCTTCTCAGCTGTTATCAGAGATATCAAGCATCTTGTTGGAAAGCTTTACTCCTTCTCAGAAATGGGGAGTGGGAATCCTGTGTGATGAGGAGGGCACATAAGTAAAAAATAATGTTGCTGCTGTAAAAAATAATGTTGGTGCCCATGGAACCAACCCATTTCTCAATGTGGTCTTTGATGACACTTGAAGATTCATGTGATGTCTATGGTGGTTTGAAATATGATTTAGTGGTAAAATGCTTAGCTATTAAGGTACAGAAAAGATGCTACTTTATTAAAAACAAAGATCCATGCATATAAAAATGAGGTTATTGGTGCAGAGTTATGGTATAGTTGACTAAGCTTCTACCTGCAATGCTCACATCCCAAATGGGTACTGGTTCGGGTCCCAGCTCCCTGCTTATGGCCTGGGAAAACAACAGAGGATGGCTCAAGTCCTTGGGATCCTGCACCCACACAGGAGACCCAGAAGAAACTCCTGGCTTCTGACTTTGGATTGGCTCAGCTCTAACCAGTTCAGCCATTTGGAAAGTGAATGGCTGAGTTCTTTCTGTATCTATTCTTGTCTCTAATTAAAATAATGATGATAATAATATTGTAAAATGAGGATATTTTGGTGCAAAAATTGAAATTTATTTTTTGTAATACACATTCTACATAAGCGTTTTGAAAGGCCTTTATGAATCTTATTATCACAAAATAACTTTTTAACTGCTGTGTGTGTGTTTGTGTGTGTGTGTGTTCCCGTTTGTATATGCAAATGCATATATAAATCTGAGAATGACATGTGAGGACCTGGTAGGAGTAGTTCTGGGAAATATAACTAAGGTGAAAAGAAGGGAATGGTACCACTTTCTGTGTTTTTAAAAGGTTGAATCTCAGAAAGAGAAATCAACATATTAAAGGGGTAGGCCAACGTGAAGCCAGGAACCCCATTTGGGTCTCCTTCAGAGAGTGGTAGGGATCTAAGCATATGAGCCATGTTCTACTGCTTTCCAAGTGTATGATCAGGAAGCTAGATCAGAGGAAGAACAGGATTCCAACTGGTTTTTCTATGTGGGATCTTAGGATTATAAGCAATAGCTTAACCAGTAGAAGCACAGTACTGCGTCTTATGTACTATTATTTCTGAAATTACTTATTTTTATTTGAAAGGCAGATTTACAGAGAGACAAGGAGAGACAGAGGTCTTCATCTGCTGATTCATTCCAAATAGCCACAGTAACCTGAGCCGAGTTGATTCAAAATTAGGAGCCAGAAGCTGCTTTCAGGTCTCCCACAGTGTTCACAGACTCAAGGACTTGGGCCATCCTCCACTGCTTTCCCAGATCATAGTAGGAAGCTGGATTGGAAGTAGAGCAGCTGGAGAAAAAATGAGCTAGTGTCCTTATGGAATGGTTGCACTGCAGGCAGGAGTTAATATTCTATGCCACCATACTGGCCCCTCATGTAATGGTTCTATAATTAAAAAACTGGATTCTGACTTTAATGTGATAATTTGAAGATACTGGAACAGAAAAGGGACATCAGGTAATAATTAAGCAATTGCTAATAAAGTATAGGCTTTAGTTGGTAATGTGTCAGAATAGGGATGAATGTTGGCATTATGTGTTATGTATTGCTTTCAATGCCAATAATTCTACATAAAGGCTATTTCAATTTCCAGGTGCTTCACTTGCAAACCAACTTCCTGATAATGCATCTGAGAAAGTATCAGCAGTTGGAATTAATATTTGGATTCCTAACTCCCATGTGGGCATTCAAAAATCTTGTATTTAGCTTTGCCCAGCCCCAGCCATTGCAGCCATTTAGAGATTGAACTGATGACTGAAGACCTGTCTTTCCCTCCCTGTATCTTTGCCTTTCAAATTAAATAAATCTTTTAAAAAGAGGATGTATCAGCTTTTCTTTATTTGTTGCAATAGGTGAATCATGTTAATATGAGATGTTATATAATAGTGGAAACTAGTATGGCTAATGAGCAAACTCTTTTTTCTTTTCTTTTTCTTTTCTTTTTTTAAAAGATTTATTTATTTATTTGTCTTTATTGGAAAATCAGATATACAGAGAGGAGGAGAGACATAAAGGAAGATTTTCCATCCAGTGATTCACTCCTCAAGCAGCCGCAACGGCTGGAGCTGATCTGATCTGAAGCCAATAGCCAAGAACTTCTTCCAGGTCTCCCACACAGGTCCCAAGGCTTTGGGCCGTCCTCGACTGCTTTCCCAGGCCACAAGCAGGGAGCTAGATGGGAAGTAGAGCTGCTGGGATTTGAACCAGCGCCCATATGGGATCCTGGGCATGCAAAGCGAGGGCTTTAACCACTATACTAACGCGCCGGGCCCTGCAAACTGTTTCTGTTTGTCATTTTTCTATAAATCTAAAAATATTCTTAAATAAAGTGGCATTTTAAAGGGTAACTTGGAAGTCTATAGAGTAGTATAGTTATCACTTATTATTTAAAGGTAGATTCATGAAAAGATGAATTCATTATTGAAATGTAATTTTTCTGGGTCTAGAACCAATTACTAATTGACTGTTTCTTTTGAATGGTGAAGGGGGTGGGAGTACAGTAACAGTTGCTGTTGAAGTGGTTGATTTTTTTTTTCATAAAATTAGTTTATTTTTCTGCATGAGTTTTTAGAATGGTTGTGATGATTATTTCAGTTTCACCATCCAGAAATAACAAACTGATCATGGGATAGATAGCAGAATGTGAAAGTGAAAAATCTTGGGGCTGACATTGTGGCATAAATGGTAAAGTTGTAGCTTGTGATGCATTGGGCCATGCCCTGGCTGACCATTTCCAATGTAGTCCCCATTAATTGCATGGAAAAAGCAGAAGATAGCTCAGGTGTTTGTGCTTCTACCATATAAAGGACCCAGATACGTTCCTTAGCTTTAGCTTCAGCCTGGCCAAGTGCTGGTCATTGCAGTCAACTGGAATATAAACCAGAAGATGGAATAGTTCTTTCTGATTCTGTAACTTTGGCTTTTTTTTTTTTTTTAAGAATCAAACATTTATTTTTTATATCATTTTATGATATAGTTTCATAGGCTCTGGGGTTCTCACAGCCCCTCCCCAAACTCTCCCCCCCTCCCCCCGTATTGAATTCCTCCATATTGTTACAGTAGTACAGTTCAGAACCATAGACTCTGGGGTTCTCACAGCCCCTTCCCAAATTCTCCCCCCCCTTCCCGTATTGAATTCCTCCATATTGTTACAGTAGTACAGTTCAGAACCAGTCGTGATTCTTTCATTGTGGGCATGGACCATGTGGAGAATCCAGCATCTTATTGTCCAGATAAATTCAACAGTTTCATTGGGAGATCATCCTTGGTCTGAAAGTAGAGCTGGCAGAATATCATCCCTCCAATGAAATGTTATTACAGAACAGGAATAAAACAGGAAAAAACATTGAAATTAAAAACATCATGAAATTAATTAACATGGTATATTGAGTGACCAATATGTTAGAAAATGCAAGTTCTTAACCACATCCTGCCACTACTTCCTTGGCATCTCAATTTTAGTATGTACACAATCGGCTGCTATAAACTTTTTTTTTCTCCAAAGCTAACATGTTTTTGAGTTTAACCTAAATCAGAGTGGCACAGGAACAGTGAAAGGATCAACATTAACATCCATCATATTACAAAATTAACATCAAAGTTTCTATGCAGTTACATCTTGTTTAACATTAACAGTTATAAATTGGTAAAGCTTTTTGGGGATGTAACTTTCACTTTAAAAATAAATTTGAAACAATAAAAATGAGAGGCCTTTGAGTAGTTGTTATGCTGCAGTTGTTAAGTTGCCACAGGTGGGGGGAGGGGTGGATGCCTTCATCCTATGATGGAGTACATATAATCTAGTTATATCTCCACTGCAACTCCATTCTAGTCTAGCTTCTGGCTAATGCACAGGAATGAGAGGCAGCATATGATTTTCCATGTGCTGGTTCCTGGATTCAGCATGCCCAGTTGCAGCTGTTTGTAAGCATTGTGGGAGTAGCGGAATAATGGTGTGTATGTGTGTGTGCATCTGTCTGTCTTCCTTTTGCTTATTCTTTGAGTAGGTTCATGAAGAAATGAGGATCTTCAAAAGGGAAGAGTTTTAACTGATCAAGTGAGCGATAAAGTGGGCAGAGTAGATGTGAGTGCTTGGTGTAATTCCATTTAACCAGCTCTGTGAGTGGTCATTTCTGTGATATCTTTTTCCTTCAAGATGGCACCATAGGGAATAGGCCTAGAAACTCCATTCCTAACCATCTTCCAAATTGGTTCACTTTGCTCTTGATGCAGCATCAGGGATGATTATAACCATTGACTGAATTCTGTGAAGGATAGTGTTGAAGAAAACAGACTTAAGATTGACTCAGTATGACAGGTGCTCATTTCTCTCTCTACGTGTGACATTGATACATGAATAAAATCAAATGTTAGAAATCAATCCTTTGAATTAGCATATATCCTCACCATAGGTAGGCACTTTATTTTACCTATCCATTTAGTGGATCTCTGGTCGCTGTTATTAGCTAGCCATAGCACCCAGTTTGAGAAAGGGGATCCTTGGTTGTATAGGATACAGTCACCTACTTCATCCATCTTGGAATTCCCCTTGCCTTAGCTTCTGGGACATTCTTACTCCCAATTCTACTTGAAAAAGTAATATATATATATATATATATATATAATTATAATATATATATATATATATATATATTTGAAAGGCATATTTACAGAGAGAAGAGACACAGAGATATCTTTGATTTGTTGGTTCATTTCCCAAAGGGCTGCACTGACCAGAACGGAGTAGTCTGAAACCAGGAGCTTTTTTCATGTCTGCCTTGAGGGTGCAGGGTCCCAAGCACTTGGGCCATCCTCCACTGGCCCAAGTGCTTTCCCAGGTCATAAATAGGGAGCTGTATCAGAAGTGGTGCAGCCAGTGGTGCCCATATGGGTTGTCAGCACTTAAAGGTGAAGTATTAGCCTGTTGAGTTATTGCACCGACACCCAGTTCTACTTCTTCAGGACTTACACATAGGTACTGTAATACAAGATGAGAACATTCTGAGCAACTTTCTTATTGCCCACACCTTTCTTATTTGAGAATCCTGAAGGATTCCATCTTGTCTGTTAAGACACCAAATATATGTGTTTCCTAAATATTTTTCTTCATAATTTCCCTGGAGTTTGTAATATATAAGTATTTTACTATCTTAAAGTCTTATGCCACTTAGGTAACAAGTAACTTCATTCCCTTTACATGAGTATTCCAGTTTACATAATTATGTTCTTCTCATTTCAGCTGCCTTGAGAAGAGATGACCTGATCAGAACCAACTAGGAAAGTCAGTACAAAACATTCAAATCTGGATATTATGGCAAGCAGTGCATCAACTCCTAAGGAAATGGAAATTAAAAAAAATAATTTGAGTTCAAGCCAAATTCCAAAACTGATTTCCAAAAATGGAAATTATTTAGAAATAAAATCTGAGGAATTTGATGTATATAACCCCAGTGGACTTCATGAAGTGGAAGCAGAAGGAAAATGTGATAGCATTAATGTGCCTGGAAACTCTCTTCAATGCTATGAGCCTCTTAATGAGTATCACAAGATTCAGACTGTACAGCAGCCATTTGAACATAATGCACAATGGAAAGCCTTCAAAATGAAGAAGACATTTGCATTTGGGAGTGTTCATATGGAAGAGACATGTAATAAGGAGACAACTCAGATGGAGAAGAAAAGTCTCCATAAATGTTCTAAGCCAAGTAATTATCAACAAACCTATAAAAGAGAGAAATTCAGTGAATATTTTGAATATGGGGAACCTCCCATTTACAAAACTGATCTTATAATAAGCCAGGTGCCCCATACAGAGAATAAATCGCGTGCGTGTGAACCCTATGGAAAACCATTTAGCAGTCAATCCTGCCATACCATGTATCACAGCAGTCATATAGTGGAAAATCTCCATGTATTTGGTGAATGTGGAGAAACCCCGTATCAGAAGTCAGACCTCATTAGAAATCAGATTCACACAGGGGAGAAACCTTATGAGTGTAATGACTGTGGGAAAGCCTTTGGCCGTAAGTCACACCTCAAAATGCATCAAAGAATCCACACAGGGGAGAAACCTTATGAGTGTAATGACTGTGGGAAAGCCTTTGGCCATAAGTCACATCTCACAATGCATCAAAGAATCCACACAGGGGAGAAACCTTATGAGTGTAATGATTGTGGCAAAGCCTTTGGGCGTATGTCACACTTAACAGTGCATCAGAGAACTCATACAGGAGAGAAACCATATAAATGTAGTGACTGTGGAGAAGCTTTTGGCCGTAAGACATCCCTCATAATGCATCAAACAGTTCACATGGATGAGAAACCTTATGAATGTGATGACTGTGGAAGAGCTTTTGGCCACATGTCATCCCTCATAATACATCAGAAAATCCACACAAGGAAGAAACCTTATGAATGTAGTGACTGTGGCAAAGCCTTTGATAATAAGTCCCACTTAATAGTTCATCAGAGAATTCACACAGGGGAGAAACCTTTTGAATGCAGTGACTGTGGCAAAGCCTTTAGCTGTACATCACAACTCATAAAACATCAGCGAATTCACACAGGGGAGAAACCATATGAATGTAATATATGTGGGAAAGATTTTATCGAGAAGTCACAGTTGAAGAAACATCAGAGAGTTCACACAGGGGAGAAACCTTATGAATGTAATCACTGCGGGAAAGGCTTCATCCAGAAGCCACAACTCACAATACATGAGAGAACACACACAGGAGAGAGACCTTTTGAATGTAGTGACTGTGGAAAAACTTTTCGAAGTGCATCACACCTCATAAGACATCAGAAAACTCATACAGGGGAGAAACCTTATGAATGCAGTGACTGTGGGAAAGCTTTTGCTCAGAAGTCGTGCCTTGTAATACATCAGAGAATTCACACAGGGGAGAAGCCCTATGAATGTAATGACTGTGGGAAAGATTTTGCCCAGAAGTCACAACTCATAAAACATCAAAAAACTCACACAGGGGACAAACCTTATGAATGTAACAACTGTGGAAAAGGGTTTATCCAGAAGTCAAAATTGATACTACATCAGAGAACACATACAGGGGAGAAGCCTTATGAATGTAATGACTGCGGAAAAGCTTTTTATCATAGATCATCCCTCATAAAACATCAGAAAAGCCATACAGGGGAGAAACCGTATGAATGTAATGATCATGGAAAAGACTTTATGCAGAAGCCACAATTCCTATTACATCAAAGAGCAGATACAAGGGAGAAAGCTTATGAATGTGGCCATGGAGAGAAGCCACAACTCAAAATAAGTCATAAAACAGACGCAGAGAAACCCCATGAATGTAATGACCATGTTGAAGCCGTTATTCAGAAACCACAGTTCACAGTACAACAAAGAACAGACACAGGAGAGAAAGCTTATGAGTGTGGCCATGGAGAATCCTTTACCCAGAAGCCTCAGCTCACAACACATCAAAGAACAGACACAGGGAAGAAACCTTCTGAACATAACCATGGAGAAGCCCTTATCCAGAAACCACAACGCACAGTACATCAAAGAACACACACAGCGGAGAAACCATATGAATGCATAACTCTTGAAAAGCTTTTTGCCATAAACCACATCTTATGGACATCAGGAAAGTCAGATGAGGGGGAGATATTGTAAATGATAGTGACTGAGGAGAAGCTTTCTTGTTACAAATCTGTCCTCATGAAACAATTCACACAGGGGAGAAGTGAATGTCACGAATGGGAGAACCTTTTGCCAAAAGTTACATGATAGAACACAGAATTCACAGGCAGAAATCTTATTGTAGCACATGTGAAATGATTTGTTTTCAGCAGCAGTAACTCAGCGAATCAGGGAATTTAGACACTGGAGAAAGCATAAAAATGAATGGTTGAGTTTTAATTCTGAATCAATGTAATCATTGTAACAAAACCTTTTGTTGGAAATCAAATATAGGCATGGAACTCTTCTGGGGAAATGCTTCAAAGCGCTAGTAGCATGGCAAAGCTTTTTGCCAGAAATCAGTCATTAAACATTGAAGAATTCACACGAGACAGTTTTGGGAGTGTAATGGATGTGAAAAATAATTTTCCAGGAATTCAAGCCTCCATAGTGTGAATTCACAAAGGATACTGTTTGATGCAGAAAATATAAGAATGTTAGCTAGAAGTTCAGTCTCAGCAGACATCAGAGAATTCACAAACGAAAACAAAGCTATGTCAATGCATGTGAAATCTTTGGGCATAAGTTACTTTTCAACTCTAAGAGTTTAAAAGATGGGACCCAGTGCGATGGCCTTGCATATGCCAGGATCCCATGTGGATACGGGTTCATGTCCCTGTGGCCCCACTTCCCATCCAGCCCTCTGCTTGTGGCCTGGGAAAGCAGGTGAGGATGGCTCAGGCCTTCAGACACTCCCTCTGCATGGCAGTCCCGGAAGAGGCTCTTGGCTCCTGGCTTCAGCTCGGCTCAGTTCCCTCCATTGTGCCACTTCAGGAGTGAACCAGTGGATAGAAGATCTCAGTCTAAAAAAAGAGTTTGAAAGATGGTGCAACAGCTTTTGTTTTCTATCAAGATGGCAATCCTTCAAGTTATCTGACATCCACTGATACTCATGAAGAAGAGCTTATTGGCCTACTCAAGTCCCCCAAATATCTTCAGTGTTAAACACAGGATGCAAGCCTCAAATATCAGGATGACCAGATTTGATAGAAAGGGTAGATGTTGGCATTTGCAGGGAGACTGGATGATTTGCTGAGGGGATGTTGCATTTGATTTTCCAATGTTTCTGTTAACTAATGCCTCAATAAATTAAGCTCATTGTTATGTATTTCCTTTACAAGGGCTGTTGTCTTCAGAAATCCCTTAGTTTCCGATTTTTGGGGGTGGGGGTGTTATGATCTTGGTCATGTGTTCTGGATATTGCACTGATTAGTTTTCTGATTGATGCTGTAGTTTCTTGTTCTGGGTACAGGTATTAAAGTTTATTTGAAAGGTAGATTTTACAGAGGAGAGAAAGAGAACATCTTCAATCTGCTGGTTCACTCTCCAATGGTGACAGCAGCCTGAGCTGAAGTTGGGAGCATGGACCACTTCCAGGGTCCCAAGGGATTTGGATTTTCTTTCCAAACCATACAGAGCTGGGTCAAAGTTGGAAGTGCTGGGATACAAAACAAGTGTATGGATGCTGGTACTACCGGGTGGCGAATTAGCCTGCTGCACCACCACACCAGTCCTGTGTCATCAGATTTCATGCAGTACAGTCAGGCCAGGGTTTTGGCTTAGCAAGTAAAGTTGCCATCTACAGTGTCAGCATCCGATGTAGGCACCAGTTCATGATGTAGCTGCTCCAATTCCTGTCCAGTTCCCTGCTATTGACCTGACAAAATCAGCAGAACATGAACAGAGTGTTTGGACCCCTGTTGCTCCACATGGGAGGACTGGAAGTAAATCCTTTTTCCTGGCTTAGGTCTGCTCCAGCCCTGGCCATTGTGGCCATCTAAGGAATAAAGCAGTGTATACAGGAACTTTCTTTTTTTGGAGGGGGGGGGAACCTCTTTTTAAAAAATTTTTATTTTTTATGATTACATGGTTGATCAGGGTGGGAAGGATAGAGGTTTGGGGGAAATTGGGTGAACCCACTGGTGGCCCCACAGTCCTAGTGCACACCCACGCTGGTGCAGGCTGTAGCCATGTCCAGTCCAGCCTGCTGTCCCTAATCCTACTCTCATTTTTACCAGTGGGAATCCCAACCCAACTGGGATGCCCCCTTGGCTTCCCAGCAAGGCCTGACCCCATCTTTACATGGAGAAGATAGAATCGCACAGATGGCAGTGAGAGATGAATTGTGGTTTTTATGCCCAGAATAGGAATTACAGCAGAGGTACTTCATAGCAACATCCAAGGCATTTAGGAAATCTTTGCCTGTGATGCCAGAAGCAGTGATGGGCAGCTATACTCAGACTTAGCTACACTCTTTGCTGTACATCTTAGTATAGGGTTTTCATAAGGTTAAGCTTAGGGTCAGGCAAGAGAGCCTGGAGGAATGTTATGCACTAAGTACTGATGGCCACAAGAGGGTGCGTGAAGCTGTACTTTCTGCCCCTAGTCCACTCAGGCATTCTGAGCATGAGACAGCAGAGCCTGAGCTGACCTAAATCAGGCAAGGGTCCCAGATTTTGTTTCCAGACCCATGTCATCGGAAGATCAGGGGTCCAAGGATGAACACATGACGACTGAGGCCTGGGGAATGGAGTGGAAGACCCTTGTGGGCTTACACAGGCCCACTGTGATGCGAAGTGGCAGGGTGCGTTCACCAGCAAGTTACTCTTGGGAGTGGGAATTCCAAGTCAGGGCACCCACAGCCCTATGGGAGCTGGAGTCCTATGTCAGCATCCCAAGAGAAACTCAGGGAGATGGAGTCCCACGTCAGGGTCCCCACAGGCTCTCTGGGAGGTAGAAACACATCTCAGGGCTCTGGGAGGTGTAGCATCACTTCAGGACAACAAAACCACTAGGGAGCTGGAGTAACCAAGCAGCCAACTAACATTGAATTCTGGGAGATGAAATCTTACCACCACGCTCATTCCACACAGAGCACCCTGAGCTGCAGGCCAGGGGGCTTTTTTTTAGAAAAATCTAGTCAGGATTTTGGACACACTTGGGAACTTGTACTGCAGGTGGCAGAAGTCATGAGCAGGTATGACGGTAGCCAGGGAACCACTTGGGCCTGGACAAGGGAGCGCTTTCAGGGCCTGTGCTCCCGGCAGCACAGGCCTGGACCCCTGGACTGTTTCCCCGCAGCCCTTCCTGTCCTCTGCCCTGAACCCTTCTTTTGGAGAGGCTCTTTGGGGAGGTGCTCCCCTGTATCCCTGCCCTCTACTCACACACTCGTTACCCCTTCCCCGCTTGCCCATGCCTTGGCCGTGCACCCCAGCCCCTCCTGGAGGCCCTCCACAGCTGTCCTGCCTACCCCTGCCCGCTCAGTGCTTGATCCAAGTTGTCCTGATAGACACCGCTTTCCTGCTCACTTGCTTAGTGCTGGTCTCTGGCAACAGGTCTGTTATCCTCCTGCTTTTCGGCAGAAGCCCTGCCCTTCCTCGTGGGTGTCTTCAGGCTCCAGGCCTTCTCCGGCGCTCTCTCTGGTGGCTCCACAACCATTTTCACAAGACACTTTCCTACCTGGTCGCTCGACAGCTCAGGCCCACGTGGATGGCTGCGGCCTCCCCACAATGACCTGCTTGCTTGCTTGCTCTTCGTGTGTCAGTGCTTATGACCCCCTTTCCCAGGTGCTGGAGTCTGTCCCTGCCCTCCTGCCTGCCTGCCCACTGTCTTTCTCTCCTACAGGGCCCGTGTGTGTATGTGTGTGTGTGTGTCCATGAGGGCCCACAAGCCTCCTCTTGCCACAACCTCGGTGGCATGGGTGTCCAGCGTGGCCTCCCATGCCATCTCCGGGCATGGGCTCATGAGGACCCCTTTCCCTTTAAAGTCAGGGGCTCCGAGGAAACACTCGAGGGCTTAGGCATCCCTGTCGTGTGCATTTGAGGCAGGAATTTGGCTCCACGGGCTCCAGCCAGATGCTGCTGCCCTCTCGTTCACCAGGGAACGCTTCACCCTCCACCAGGGCCATCCCGGACTCAAGACTCTTTCTCCTGCAGGCCAGCCGTGGACCATCGGCCACCGCTGATGTGCCACCTGCCACAAGACACCCAACGGCTGATGTGTGTTCTCCACAGAGTTCCTTCTCACCAGGACAGGTAGAGTAGCAACATGCCTGGATCCCTCCTTTGTACCGGCTGCTCTCACAGCACGCAACGGCATAAGTTGTGCAAGCCAGGGGTCAGGCACCCTCACCAGTCTGGTGAAGGAGCTGCTGAAGAAACCTTCAAGGGGTGGAGTCGGGTGCTGTGGGGTGGTGCTGTGGGGTGTTGTCCCAGTGGGTCAAGCCTCAGCCTGCCAGGCGGATGGTCTGTATGGGCGCTATTTTAAAGCCTGGCTGCTTCCCCTGCGGTCCAGCTCCCTGCTGGTACTCCTGAGAGAGCAGCAGAGGATGGTGCAGGGGCTTGTGCCCCTGTGCTCCTGTGGGTGATATGGAGGAAGCTCCTGATTCCCAGGCTTGTCCTGGCCCAGCCACTGCTGGCTCTGGTGGTGGTCCCTGGGGAAGTGAGCCAGCAGATGCAAGAAAGATTGCTGCCAGTTAAACTGCATAACCACCTGGAAAGTGCACAATCCAGGAGTGAGAGACCTGGGAGGGAAATAGTGGGTTCCCCCCCTCTTGGGTTACGACTTCCACGGGTTGGCACAAAAACTAGGACAGGGGTTGGGGTGGCTAGACAGAGAGGCACTCATCAACACCCGTGAGGGCTTGGTTGTTGAGCTGCTTCG